ATCTAAAAAGAAGAGACAAATTATGTGGGATGGAAACACCTGGTTTTTCAAATCAGAGGGAATATATTGCCTTCTGAAGTTTCACTGCCAAAAGCAAGTGCTATGAAGATGGAGCTACATGACCCTTCCTGTCAGTAGCTCTACTTGTATGGCAATTCTCTTCCTTTTTAAGCACAAATGCAATCTTTTTTTTTTTTTTTTTTGGCACAAAAGAAATCTTATAAGTGAACTGAAAACATTTATTGGGAGACAACATACAGTTTGGTTAAGAGCATGGATTCTGGAATTGCCCGCCTACATTCAAATCCCAGCCCTGCACTTCCTATCTGCATGACCTTGGCAACTTATTTCTCTGTGCCTCAGTTTCCTTTGTGAGTACTGGATCAGTTGATATGTGTAAGGTACTCAGAAAAGTATTAAGTGCTTGCTATTATTACTATTTTTAAGATTTAAAAAAAATTATTTATTTTGGGGTACCTGGGTGGCTCAGTCAGTTGAGTGTCCAACTCTTGATTTTGGCTCAGATCATGATACTCTCACGGTTTGTGGGATTGGGCCCTGCATCAGGCTTTGTGTTGACAGTGCAGAGCCTGCTTGGGATTCTCCCTCTCAGTTTCTCTCTGTCCCTCCTCCACTCTCATGCTCTTTCTCCCTCTCTCAAAATAAATAAATAAACATTAAAAAATTTTATTTACTTTGAGAGAGAAGGAGAGAGAAGGGGAGAGAGAGAGTCCCAAGTAGGCTCCAAGCCATCAGTGCAGAGCCCAATGCGGTTCAGATCCCATGAGCCATGAGATCATGACCTGAGCCGAAACCAAGTCGGATGCTTAACTGACTGAGCCACCTAGGCAACCTCTTTTTTTTTTTTTAAGATTAAAAAACAAGCAAAAACAATTATTTATTTCAAGAGAAAGGAAGAGAGAAAAAATTATTACTATTCTTAAAGCATGTAGGAACCAGTCTTCCCAAATAAGCCTTACCTTCTTCTTCATTCAATATTTATCAAGAAACACTGCATGCCAAGCATTGTGATGGGTGCTAGGGGGTATGCAAAGGTAAATAAAGATGGGCTCCGCCCTTGTCATGCTCACAATTTGTTAGTGATCATAAACACACCTGGGATTGATGTTTCAGGAAGTCCAGATCTCGAGAAGTAGGGCAGGGTCACTGGACAAGGGGCTGGCCAGGCAGGTACCCCCACAGCAGCAGCTCCTCACATGGAATTTAAAAGCTCTTTTGTGTTAGCACTCATGGTAAGTGAACAGCCTACTACCTATTTACACTTCATTTCTGAAGGTTTAATAAGCAATCCGAGATTCTTGCTGTGAGCCAGGAAATTGTAAAGTTAAAAGACCCCTTATGATGTAGACCCTGCCTGCCTCTCTTGCCTCGGTTCTGCCACCGACTAACCTCCCACCCCCACTCCTTCACTCCAGCCTTTAGGATCTTCCTACAGTTTTCCAAATATTGCCAGGCTGTCCCACACCACACTGCCTTTGCACAGCTATTCTTTCTGCCAAAGTGCCTTCTTGGGCTACCCAATTTCTACTTGTTCTAAAGATTCAGGTACAAACATCTCTTCCTCTAGCACCTCTTTGTCAACACTCAAACCTGACTGAGGGGCTCCTAAAATATGCTCCTCCAGCACTTATCACGAAGGACTACAACTGTGGCCATTGATGTTTGTGTCTTCTACTAGGTTACCTATGCCTAGAAGCCAAGGTTGGTATCTTGTAGGGTTTTGCAACCTTGGCCCCTGACAAAGGGCCTGGCACACTGCAGGTGTTTGGTAAATGTACGAGAGGTAACATCGGAAGGAGGCTAGTTACCCCTGTTCTTCTCATTTCCTTGCTGCCATGATGATCACTGTCATCATTGGCCTCCTTTAAGTCACCAAAATCCTCCTTAAAGAAAAATCTCAGTACAAAAACAAAACAAAACAAAACAAAACAAAACAAAACAAAACAAAACAAAACACCAAATCGTTTCTCAAATGTCACCTTCTCAATGAGCTTCACCTTGAATACCCTATTTAACATTGCAACCTCCCCTCCACCCAACACTACAATGCTGGCCACCCTTATCCTCTGCTTTTTCTTATTTTCCACATATACATTATCTCTAGATCCTTGTAACAATCCTTCATTGCAGGCATTTTAATCCTGCCCCCTTTTTTTAGTAATCTCTATCCCCATCATGGGGCTTGAACTCATGACCCCGAGATCAAGAGTTGCATGCTCGACTGACTGAGCCAGCCAGACGCCCCTTTGATCCCATTTTCTAAGTGAGACACTGAGTTCAGAGTCTAAGCCATGTGTGCTTGAATGAATGCAGGTAAGTAGGTGGAGGAGGTAGGCCCTCACTGATTCCCATCCCCAAGTGCACTTGGAAATTTCATTCTCTATCAACAGGTCAGGTGGGTCTCCAGAGAGATGATACTTCTTGAATGTTATAAAAACCTGCTTGAGCTCAATTTTTCTAATCAACCAAACCAAGAAATTTCTCTAACACTCTGATGGAAAATCATATGCTGCCAGCAAGCTACAGTTTCCTTAAGAGAGAAAACGGGAAGAAGAGTCTAGGGACTCAAGAAGAAACATGGTCTCAGTTTTTTGGTTCAGAGAAGACCATGATGTTCAGGTATTGTTTGGGGCCAATGGTTTTAGAAAGTATATGGGATCCTGTCAAACCTAAGCTGATCCACTTGGAGATCCAGGGTAAGTTTTCATTCCATTCACAGCTATGTTTTAAAAAATTTTGTGATGCTTGCACAATTCTGCAAATATATTAGAAGCAGTTGAATTGTACCCTTTAAATGGGTGATTTATATGGTATGTGACTTCCATCTCAATAAAGCTGTTATTAAAAATAATAATGTTTGGGTTTGGTTCATATCACAGCTTATGGCTTGGTTTGGGTTGAGTCATATGAAGGTACCAAATAAACAGGAAAAAAATGTGGGAACTGCTTCCATATTTGACCCAGAGAAGTTATAAAAGGCTGAAATCTTTAGACAATATAATTAAATAGACCCGCAAATGCCTTCTATTGTGTTACAAGTTCATATACTAAAGGACAAGAGATTCACTCCTTGGATGAGTGACATCCAAAACAACCAAAGATCAGATATCTAACGGTTCACATATGGTAGAGCACTCTAAGGTGTTAAGTTGGTAAGAAGCATTATTTCTAAGTTTTTTAAAAAAGACACATAAATGGGTAGTGGGGACTATTAAGGAGGGCACTTGTGATGAGCACCAGGTGTTGTATGTAAGTGTTGAATTGCTAAATTCTACACCTGAAACAAATATTACACTATATATTAACTAACTGGAATTCAAATAAAAACTTTTTTAAAAAAGAAAAAAATATATAAAAAGATGGGCAAAAAGGTGTGTCCCTCATGGAAGAGTTAAAGGAGAGGAAGTGACTGATGCATAACTTTCTTAAAAATCCTAAGTTGGAAAAAAAAATCCTAAGTTGGAATTTAAGGGCATGAGTAGCCTTTACTATCAATAAAACAAAGCCTATAAAGCTCAGGAATCAGGAAATGCCATAAATTCAAGGGTATGCGTACATCCATGAGTGTATTTTTCTGCTTAGCGATAAGACACAATCACGACATCAAAGAAAATTCCTTCTCCCTAGGAACTTCTTAAGATTTGTTGTTCAACATGGTCTGAATAAAGAAGCCAGTATTACAGTTTTGTAAGTTTTTGGTCTAGTGAAGTTATATGCTCTATGTGAGAGATATGGTCTCTCATAAATAAAAAGGTAATATAAACTTTTAAAAATTTATATATTTATAATTTACATGTCATTTTCTTCCAAATAAAGATTTAAGATAGTCAAGTGCATTGGTAATAAAACGACTCCTGGCTACTTATTAACTAATCTTTTTCCATCCAGCATCATCTTTAATAGCAGAGTGCCTAGCACACAGCAGGAAGTCAAGATATATATTAATATACCGATGACTAAATAAACGTGAGGGCAAAGATAAAATGTAAGGGGCTAGAGGAAGATGTTCATAGAGGACAACAACAGGACGCACATTTCATTAACTCAGAAACTCTGAAACCAGGAAGAGCGTGCAGTGCCAACATCCTATATGGCTGCCCAGTCATCCTCGACCTACTATGTACCATGTACTAGGTGTAACATGGTAAACAAAACATGGAACTTAATTAGTCTTTCTGGTAAATAACCTCGTCCCCCTGAATACAGGGCACCTCTGACCAAAGAGGACCAATTAGAATCTATGCCTGGGAATTTTCTGTGAACAGAGATGAGCTCACAGATGGCCCAGAGACCTAGGGTAGAGATGTTTATTTTTGAGAGAGAGAGACAGAGTGTTAGTGGGGGAGGGGCAGAGAGAGAAGAAGACACAGAATCCGAAACAGGCTCCATCCAGGCTCTGAGCTGACAGCACAGAACCTGTGCCGGATTGAACCCACAAGCCATGAGACCATGACCTGAGCTGAAGTTGGACACTTAACCAACTGAGCCACCCAGACGCCTTTTTTCTTTTTTTAAGTAACATTTACTTCTCTTATTTTTAAGTTTATTTATTTTAAGAGAGAGAGAGAAAGCATGCATGTGGGAGGGGCAGAGAGGAAAAGAGAGAGAGAGAGAGAGAGAGAGAGAGAGAGAGAATCCCAAGCAGTTAGTGAGGAGCCCGATGTGGGGTCCGAACCCACAAACCATGAGATCATGACCTGAGCAGAGACCAAGAGTTGGATGCTTAACTGACTGACCCACCCAGGTGCCCCTCAATCCTCTTTTAATACATAAGGTAAGTTAAGGTGACTTGGTGTCACTTGCCATAAAAAATGCTTATGAATCTAACTTCCAATATACATATAAGACTAGTGAGGCTGAGGCAGGTTCAATGTTTTATCTGATCTGGAAAAAAAAACCAGAGATCTGACTCTCAACCCCAAGCTATATCACAGGTCCAAGTAAAAACAAGCATTAGAAAAATAATCAACATGCAGTACCTCATGAACCACAGAGCCCAGCAGAAAGTCCAGCCTCTGGCACAGTTCTCCAAGGTTAGATAAGCTGCTGGCCCTGTGAGCACTATCTGGATCTCTTGCCCCCCTCAGGAATGTGTGGATCAAAGGTTCTCTGTACTTTGAGACCATGTCCCCTATAGGGAAAAAAAAAAAAAAAGAAAAGAAATCAAAATCTTTAAAAACAAATTTTCAGGTTCTTAAAGAAGGAATAATGATACTATCATAGTATATTGTATGGTGTTTTATACTTTTCAAAGTACTTGCATAACCAACCATTAGAAATTATGCACTGGGAGCATATTTAATGTCACGGTGGAAGAAAACTAATAACTGACCATTAGATTGAGTAACAATGAGGACACTGTTGACTCTGACAAGAACGGTTTTGATGGACTGGTAGGGGTAAGAGCATGACAGAAGTGTTGTTGTTTTTTAAGTTAATTTATTTAAATTCAAAGTCAGTTAACATACAGTGTAGTATTGGTTTCAGGAGAAGAAGCCAGCAATTCATCACTTACATACAACACCCAGTGCTCATCCCACAAAATGCTTTCCTTAACGCCCATCACCCATTTAGCCCATCCCCCCCACCCACCTTCCCTCCAGCAACCCGTATTTTGTTCTCTTTATTTAAGAGTCTCTTATGATTTGTCTCCTTCTCTGTTTTTATCTTATTTTTTCCTTCCCTTCCCTTATGTTCAACTGTTGTTTGTTAAATTCCACATATGAGTGAAATCATGTATTTGTCTTTCTCTGAGTCACATCACTTAGCATAATACACTCTACTTCTATCCACGTTATTGCAAATGGCAAGATTTCATTCTTTTTTTAAAACCATTTATTCACTTTTGAGAGAGATACTATGAGCAGGGGAGGAGCAGAGAAAGATGCTCAACCAAACAAGCCACCCAGGAGCCCCAAGATTTCATTCTTTTGACTGCCAAGTAATATTCCATTGTACCACCTCTTTATCCATTCATCAGTCGATGGCCATATGGCCATAATGTGGCTATTATTTATAGCACTGTTGTAAACATTGGGGTGCATGTGCCCCTTCAAATCAGCATTTTTGTATCCTTTGAATAAATACCTATAGGACAATTGCTGAATCATAGGGTAATTCTATTTTTAATTTTTTGAGAAAACTCCATACTGTTTTCCAGAGTGGCTACACCAGTTTGCATTCCCACCAACAGGGCAAATAGTATTCCCCTTTCTCTGCATCCTCGCCAACATCGGTTGTTTCCTGAGTTGTTAATGTTAGCCATTCTGACAGGTGTGAGGTGGTACCTCGTCATGGTTTTGATTTGTATTTCTCTGATGATGAGTGATGTTGAACATATTTTCATGTGTCTGTTAGCCATCCGGGTGCTTTCTTTGGAAAAGTGTCTATTCATGTCTTCTGCCCATTTCTACACTGGATTATTTGTTTTTTGGGTGTTGAGTCTGAGAAGTTCTTTATCTGATATGTCATTTGCAAATATCTTCTCCCATTCTGTCAGTTGCCTTTTAGTTTTGTTGATTATTTCCTTTGCTGTACAGAAGTTTTTTTTGTTTTTAAGTTTATTTATCTATTTTGAGACAGAGAGAGAGAGAGAGAGAGAGAGAGAGAGAGAGAGAGAGAGATGGGCAGAGAGATTGGGAGAGAGAGAATCCAAGCAGGCTTCACACTGTCAACGCAAGCCTGATGCGGGGCTCAAATTCACAAACCATGAGATCATGACCTGAGCCAAAACGAAGAGCCAGATACTTAATCAACTGGGCTACCCAGGCACCCCTGTGCAGAAGCTTTTTATCTTGATGAGGTCCCAATAGTTCATTTTTGCTTTTATTTCCCTTGCCTCTGGAGACATATCTAGCAAGAAGTTGCTATGGCTGAGGTCAAAGAGGTTGCTGCCTGTTTTCTTCTGTAGGATTTTGATGGTTTCCTGTCTCATATTTTAGGTCTTTCATCCATTTTGAATTTATTTTTGTGGATGGTGTAAGAAAGTGGCCCAATTTCATTCTTCTGCATGTTGCTATCCAGTTCTCCCAGGACCATTTACTGAACAGACTGTCTTTTTTTTCCATTGGATATTCTTGCCTGCTTTGTTGAAGATACATGTTGGCCAAATATTTGTGGGTCCATTTCTGGGTTCTGTATGCTGTTCCTAGAAGTGGGTTTAAGACAGTATGGGAGAACTGGAGACAGAAAGATCACTTAAGAAGTTTTTCAGCAAAGCAGATCAAGGAAATGGGGTGGCTGCTGGTCAAGGTAGGGGGATATGTCAAGAGAAGTTTTTGTTTTATTTGAAAAGAAGAGAAATAGCATGCTAAGACATCAGAATTGACATTTTATATATGGAAACAACTTCTTCCTCCACAGGTATACCAAGAGCTAAAGCTTTTTTGGCTTGATCTAGGTTCTGAGGCTCTAGTTCTAGAACCCAAGTATAACACTCTACCTTTAGCCTTTTTGTAGTACTAAGGCTACATGATATCTATCTATGAGGTGACCAAATGGTTTCCAAAGCACTGCTTAAAGCCACCTATTCTTAATCACATAAATGATAAATCATAAAAAAATCACCAACTTGTCCTATCAGGCTCACCTCAAATGCTATTTCCTTTGTGAAAACTTCTTCAGTCAGCCTTAATTAGTCCTCCTGGGAAGTTCCACAGTTCTTTGAACTTAAATCACCTGTGTCACTAATGCCTTGATTCCTAGAGGTTTTCAGCATCTATCTCTCCCATGAGTCTAAATTCCTTGAAGGTAGAACTTCGTTTCCATCAGTTCTCAGTAATCTTTGTATGTATGAAGTACTCAACAAATGCTAATGTTGAACTGAGTTCATTAATTTGTTCAACAAAACAAAATTATGTGCTAGGTATCATGATAATGTTCTAGGGATAAAAAAACATAAACATAATCTTTACCCTTTAGAAAGCCCAAAGTTTAGGAGGTGGGTACAAACAGATAAGTACCAACAATTACAGTACTGTGGTAACTGCCATCATAGAGCCAAGCAGAGGTTGCTTGGAGACCCTAAACTCACTAATTTCAAACACTTGGAAGGGGGGGGAGGAGACTGTTTTGACTTCATTTTACCTCAAAACACAATGTATTTTCCACACAGTATGGGATAAAGATGAAGGAGAAATTTCTCTAAAAGGCTCCCAGTTCCTAATATACTACAGACAGTCGAAAGACTCATTCCCTGCCCAGTTAACATGACTATGAATTGCAGAAATTGAGTTAGCAGTAATTCAGCCATAGCTTGTTTTCAGAATAGAGGGGACTTTGTGCCTATTCTGAGACCCAGTATTTGCATTTCTGAATATCAATCCTGAAGAGGGAGTCACATATATGCACAAGGATATCTGCATAAAGACTTAACTACAAGAATTGTAACAGTGAAAAATGAGAATTAAATATTAATTAATATGGAAGTGGTTAAATAAACATATATGTTATGGAGTACAATGCAGTCATTAAAAAGAAAATGACAGAATTATATGCACTAATATAGAAAGGTCCCTGAAGACACTGTTAAAGCAAAAGGAAGTAATAGAACCAGTATCACTCCATTTGTGTATGTAAAAATGCACAGATGCAACTTCTCTCACTATTAACAAACAAAACTTACAGATTTAAATATGTATATGAAATATACAAATGTATAGAAAAATGATAGAAAGGACATACTAAAAGAGAAGATTTAAATAACTTGTCCGTAGAGCAAATATGCCCAAGATCAAAGTTAACGTAGTTTGATACTTAACTCCTATAACATACTGATTGTATTTGAAATTTCCAACTAAGAGGAAAACATATATTTCTACTTTTACTGTAGTACTTTTCCTTTCTGGTCTTAGGAAGGAACTTGCTCATTCTGTAGTGTGAGATATAGATCCAGAGTTAAGAGATGTGTGTTCTAGTTTTGGCCCTGCTACCAACTAGCATTTTGACTTTGGGCAATTTGCTTCACCTCTCTGGACCAACTAGAGATAAGTCAATTAGACAAGACGTCTCTCAGGTCCTTTCCAGTTATACGAATCTATGAGTTGATGAGTCACCTTTGGTTTAGTCATCAGGGGAATGAGGTTCAGGAGACTGGAAAAGGAAGAAGCATACATTCACCATCCCTAGAGGGAGGCTGTTGCTGTTAAAGGAATGAAGTTTCTTTGTTGGGAAGGAAGGCACAGGAAAATGAGAGAAGGAGGGGAAATTGCAGGCTGAAAAGGTAAGAGCAGATGACAAACAAGTGAATGTTTACTAATGTAGAGATTTAAAGTGAAAAATGCACGGTAAAGAAAAGGTAATATGTGCTAGGCACTATACTAGGCCTGGGGATCCAATGATAAACAAGAAAGACACAGTCCTTTCCCTCATGGCGTTCAAAGCCTAAATGGGGAAGAGGGAAAAAAACGACCAAGCAACAATGGAGTGAGATGTGCCCAACATGGTGACAGAGAAAGATACTTTTATGAGTAATGTTTTGATCAGGTTACTATTTCTATTAATAACAGCCCCAGTATTCTTATTTATCCAGACTCAAAATCCTGATGTTCTTTTTGACTTCTCTCTTTTGCCCTTCATTCAGTCTGTGCATTTATTATTATCCAACCTTTGTTTATTTCCATATAGAATTTGAAGAAACTTATAATAAATAACATTGAAATTATGTGTCACTGAAATAAGTACTTTTAAAAGCTCTACAGTAAGTGAGGGAGTGCAGATATCCCAAGCTAAGGATCTCAGAACTTAGCTTATCAATTCCTGGTGGCTAAGACATAAAAGGAAACAGAAAAAACATAGTTCTTATTATCCAATAAAAAAAGGAACATCAATTTGGTAACAGAGAAAAATTTTAGGAAGAACATCAAGAGGTACCTTATTCATTCATTCAGCCAATCTTTTAGTTTTAAAAAAAATTTTAGTAACGCTATCCCCGATGTGGGGCTTAAACTCACAGCCCCAACAACAAGAGTCACATGTTTTACCAACTGAGGCAGCCAGGCGCCCCTCGTCCAACAAATCTTAAATGACTACCTACAATACTCCAAGCACATTCTCAGTCTGGAGGTGACAAAACATGAAAAAAAAAAGTAAAGGTCCCATCTTCATGAATCCTACTTCTAGTGAGGGAGCAAG